AAAGTAAGAAATAATAATATTGATATAAATATTCATATTAATTAATAAAAAAGAGTAAATAGGTATAAAAATAAAATTATATAATACACACACACACACTCTCTCTCTCTCTCTCACACACACACACACACACACACACACACACACACACACACACACACACAAAAATAAGTTAAATATTTGTTACTTGTTATTTTATAATTGTATGTTTCGATATATGTACAAATATCCAGGAGGAGGAGCACGTATTTTGAGATACAGGTTAAACCTACTTCAAAATTCCTGTTGTTAACTATTGCTGTACAAACTGATTTAAACAATTTTTATTATTTATTATTTTATTATCTCTTCAAAACTCTTCTGACTCACTTATAAAAGTAGTTTATACTGAATATTGATTGTAAGTGGTATTGTTACCATAATAGATAGATAGATAGATTCATACATTTTAGTAGAGGTTGTATCTTAAATGTAACTCCCACTTTGAAACGCGACAACACATGAATAGAGATAAAAACTAGCTGTGTTTGCTATATCAACAAACGACTAGTAAGTATTATATCAAAAAACTTCAGGGGCAACAACAGATGATGTCACCAAATAATGTATGGACCAAAAAACTATTTCATATAGGGTACGGAACGGATATAATTGAGGCAATTTTGTATTGTGTAAAGTTATATAACAAATAATTTAAATCAATTCATTTAAAATGTAACACCAACATGTAAACTGAACTTTATGACATTAATTGTACGTGATCAAAATGTGTTTATTGATATCATTTCTAATGCTTCTTAATTAATTTGAAGGTGTGTTTTTAAAAATTTTCCTAACTCAGTTTTGTAGACGGTTACCTCTTTATTCAAAAAAGAGGCATTTGTTAACAGTGATGTATAATTTTTCTATCAAAATTTTGATAAATATTGGAACCGTTTCTGTTCTTGTTACATTTTAATTTAATTATTATTTATTTTACCGATTGATCCCAGCTTTTTCATAGATTTTTACAATTGAGTATAAATAATATGTAAACAATAATTCGCTTTCATTAATGTTGTCTGCAATAATCACAGTGGATATTTTTTTTAAATATTGTATTTGAATATATTCGTAGATTATCAGATTTATTAATTATTTTTTATCCTTATGTCAAAACTATTTATTTTTAATAATAATCCTATAGATTGTAAAACACTCCTATGTCATTTATTATTAATCAACGAACGCTTATTACTGTTTTGTCTTAAAATCATTCGTTTTATAAAAAGTATCGTTAATTTATATTCGAGAATCCCAGGTGGCCCCTGGTTCTTAAGATGCCAAACTCTTTGAAAAGAAAATTATGTTAGCTCAAGTGTTTAAATTATTTGTACAAGGCCTATACTCTTCATGTTTAGTTACTGATAAAACATTCTACTTTAAATTCATTAGGCTAATAGGTCCATACGAGAAATAAAAAAAAACTATGTAATACATATTTTAACCTTTTTTCTTTTGTAGCCCATCTTGGAATTGTTAATTAAGTTTTCTTGCTATGATATTTTGTACAAAAAATTGTCACAAAAGTATCTAACAAGAAAAACGACGCTTTTTTATTATGTCAACTAAACTACATACGTGTATTTATGAATATTTAATAATTCATTGAGATGCGTCATATAATAATATATATTTGTTATAAGATTTTAAATAATCGATATTAAATTATAAATAATCGATTTGGAAATACATTGAAGTATTGAAATGTTAGTTATAAATTTTGGCCTTGATAAACACAAAAAGTCAAGTCAAGAAGAGGTTCAGTTATGAAAGGAATTTTTGAGTAAAATTTATAGAAATAATAAAAAAAAAATAAAAGGAAATAAATCGATGGGCTAAGACCAGTGAACCACAGTCATCGTATGTTGACTTGGAATATTGACACGCAATCTCAATTACGGTAAGGCCATGAAATATCAAGATGACTCTCGGATAAAATTACTTAATGATGGCTTAAAGACACGTCATATCAAGTAGGGGTTTAGTTTAGTTTAACGATCTGAATTATATAATACAATTGTCGTTAAAAAATGTTGCAAATTGTTTAATGCTATTATTATAGAACACTATACAAGTAATAAATTTGCTCCAAAACAAATCTTAAGCCGTACCAATTTTGCTATAAGTTAAAATTATTACAGTTTTTCACAACTTCCAAACCTTTATATTTATAATGCTTATAGTTTCATTTTATTTTCATATTGGAAGCATAACTTATCTTCTCTTCTAATTAAAAGAAAAAAATTGTAATGAAGTAAGGTAATGTCGTTAAAAATATTCAGGAATGTCTTATTTACTTATAATTTGTGGTGCAATAGTAATTTCAAGACACTATTATTTTTTTTAATTAATATCAAAATAACAGCTAACAAATATTACTTCAATATTCATTGTTTTTTGTTATGGAAAGTGTGATGAGATGTGTCATATAAATATAAATGATTCCTTCATAGTACGTATAAAAAAACTATTGTACACAATTATTTGGTTTGTTGTTTGTTAAGAGAAACAACATCATTAAATTTACAAAGCAGATTTTTTTATTATAGAATATTCTATATGAAAAGTCAGTGGTGGCCTAGTGGTTAAAAGCCCACCTCTCATGCTTGAGGCCACGGGTTCGATCCTGGCAAATACCAATTAGATTTTTCTGACTCATATATACTTCCTGAGAGTATTTAGACACCACTGATAGACGGTGAAGGAAAGTCGTGAGGAAACCTGGACTTACAATTTCACAATTATAAGTTTAAAACCACCAACCCATCTCGAGCAAGCGTGGTGATAAATGCATTCCCAAAGAGGGTTGATGTCAGGCAGGCGGCCGGTCGTAAAAACAATAAGCCAAAAACTATTTTACATGTAAGGCAGGCCCTGGCTAAAGCTGGGAAATTGCCAGGAAGAACAAGAAGATTCAATATGAAAAGTGTGTAACATTTTTTTTACTATTAGCTGAGCCTAAAACATACATATATGTTACATAATTTTTGAATCTTCAATCTTACTGTCGCAGAATTTGAATAAGTCTGAATAGCAATAATAAAAATAATAATATAATAATACTAGCTCATACAAGTATTATTATATTATTATTCTATAAATATAAATAAACTTAGAGTATCTGTTTTTAATGTAGATATAACCATTTTCACTACATGAATATAAACGAAACATACACCAAAATAACAATTTTTTAAATCTTAAAAGTGGATGCACTAACTTTGTCGTGACTTTTAACAGATAGCTGATGTAACAAGAAGTAACTATTGGCTTCTTTTAAACCCAGAATGTGGAGCTAGATGCATGCGAGGTTGAAAGTTTATTCATTGCTTTTTTGTATTTCTTTTACGCAGACGTAGTCGCACTTATAGAATGAGAGCTCGTAATAATACTACCAACATTTTAAAATACATACATTAGCAATCAAATTTACAATCTTTAATTATTTACACATAATTACCTATATAAATAGAATACTAAAAGAAAATTGGAAAAATAATAATATACGAGTATGTATGTAATACATAACCACGTAATTTTTTTTATGTGAATTTTATGGTGTTACAAGACAATTATTTATGTTTTTTTTTATAAAAAGGACTTAATTTTATTAAAAATACGTGGTGGGTATTTATAAATTATTTTTGATACATTTATAAATAAGCTTTAAATACTTAAAGTCGCCTAAAGCATACATTTACTACGGAGACAGTTACAATGAAAAAAGCTAAAAAATAATATTATTTTTGCATATTCTCTAGTATCAAAAAATTGTAATTACAATGGTTCATGAACAAGACCAACTTACGATCTTACCAAATTATAAAACTTGTAAAACCAGTTTCAAGTTTTTTAATATTCTGACCTAAACATTATCGCAGACAACTTTTAAATTTTATTATCATTATGGGTGCGAAAAGATTTTTTCTAAGTTTTGTTGAACTAATACGTTATAAAAAAAGTTTTACAATAAACATATATTTTTATAAAATTATATTTTTTTTTACCAAATTCGTTGCTGACAATAATAACAAAAAAATCTAATGATTACCTGTCATAAACACCATCTACGTGAACAACGCAATTTTACATTATGTAAACTAAAATGTTTCCATTTACACATATATATGTATAATTTCAAACATTTAATATACCATTAACCTTAATACTAACTTATATTTATATGACGCGAATAGTACAAGAACTAGTTTAGACTTAATAAAATGAATAATTATTGTCATAAGAAATTTACATAAATTTTATGTTTAGGTTTAGAAATAAATCAATTTACATTTGATAAAAGTAATTATTTGATTATACTTTTTGTGTTTAAATATAATAATTTTTTTATTGTAACTGAAATAAAATTAAAAGCATATTTTTACATACATAGTTTCTCAATATTTTGATATTGAGATACAAAACTTCTTTATTCCATACATTTGTAATCTCTTTTTTATTCCCTAAACATTATACCTTAGGGTAGCATAAATATATTTCTTTGCTGCTTTGTAGTAATTTAAATGTAAATTCTCTCTTTTTAGTTTAGAAACAACATTAATTAAAATTTTAGTTTGCTAAGAACGCTTTTACAATCAAATAATAAAACTATTAAATAAGATCTCTCACTGCTCAAGAAGAAAGTCTTAAAATTTTAAAACAACCACAAGATATTAAGATTCCATCAGAATATATTTATATTTATGAAAATTTAAATTAACATACTTTTTAGATACCCAATAGAATATACAACTTAACTTTAGTAGAAAATTCCTTTTGTTTATCAAAAACACATCCATTTTTTTATGAGTCACTTGTAATAAGAAATTTAGTTACTACTGTGTAGTTCAATTGATATGCGAGTTGTATGTGACAGCTCTTAGAGTACATAAATTAATGAAGGTTTTACAGTTATACCAAGTATTTCTGCTCAGTTTGTTGTGAGAACTTTGTGAGATATGTCTTGTGTGGAGTTCACAATAAACGGCAAACAATGTTCAGGTATATTTTTAAAACTACATAATATTGCAAAAAAATATTTAAAATACAGTTTTACCACCCTTAACTTCGTAAATCAGTTAAATTCCAAATTTTATTTTATAAAAGTAATTGAAATGTAAATATATAAATATAAAATATAAAGAATTATAATTGATATCTGGTTCCTCAAATGACAAATACTTTAAAGAAGATGGTAAACTTTATTTTTATTTATTCAAGTTTTTTCTCATTATTACATACGTACTACATACGTACCTCGTACGTGAGTGTTTTAGTGTGTATTTCAATTAAATTTTGAAACAATTTAAAGAAAACATTGTAATAATTTTACCAAAAAAATATTAATGATTTGATTATCTGAATTTGTCTTGAATAATTTTAGCCATTTGTATATCATAAAGTAGTTAATATATTGAAAAATAACTTATTTAATGTACAGGTCAAATTACAACTAATCCTTATTATCCTAGGTCTTATAATTTTATAAGAATTTCTTTTGATTGTTCTGGTGAAAAATACACATATTTATTTCTTAATATTTATGCAAAATTACTTCCTATTTATACATTTTTATAGAAATTTTCCTTCCTATTTATACATTTTTGTAGAAATTTTGCATAAATATTACTTAATATTTATGCAAAATTTCTTACTTCCGCAACGATAATGATGGAAGTAACAGATATAAGAATAAAATTGCGGCAATCACATTTTAACTTTATTGCTGTATATCCATATAAAATATAAGTACTATCCACTTACCTATGCAAATAGTTAGGTAAATAAAACTATATCCCTAGTACTAGTTTACATAGGTTCAGAAGATTTTAGCGCGAAAAACTGGAAACTCCGCGTATGTAGTTTGTCAATGCTTCTTGTAATGGCACTATTCAATTAAACTTTTGGGTCAAAATTTGTCAAGCACATAGTTCACTAAGAAAATATATTATCATAACTCTACCGAACTGTTCAATAATTAATATTAATTTATACTATATATGGAACTTCAATAAGTTATTCAAACAAAAAACAAAATTACATTTAAAAGGTCATTTTTTTATCTCGCAATGTAGATTCATTTATCACGTTGTACAAAAAACTTTAGTTACATAGAACGCCACCAGAATATAAAATTTTAGAAACGTAGACAGGTTTTAGTAAGCACACTGTGTTTGATTCTTTCATAATAACTAGATCAACTTTGAGTTTAAAAATCCAAAATAATAAAATAGTTCGTGTAAAGAATTTTACCAGATTAAGATCTGCTTATGTAAAATTATTTGCCATTTACAAGTAACATTGATCAACGACATTTTATAATAATAACGTCCATTTAAATAAAACTAATGTTGTCGGATATACTACTCGGTTTTCTATTATGGCGTCGCAGTACATATACTAAAATATTAATTTTATTTCAATGAATAGTTACTAAACCCTAAGAAATCATTACACCACCTCCATATCTATTTGAGACAATTTAACTTCTCATTCAACATAAATAAAATTCTTATTATTTTGTAAAATGCACCCAAACACAATTAATTATTACCTGTTTTAAACCAGGCTTTTTATTTCCATAACTTTTTGATGTGACAAATTCTAAATTAGATTTAGACTTGTTATTATTACATAGGGCGTTTTTTTTTTGTTTTTATTACAAATTTAAATAAAGTTAAATTCTTTATGTATTCCATTTAACTTTATTATTCGTAACAGGTTCTAAAACTTTTATTATTCCATGCTGTTTAACGTTCTATATAGTTGCGTTATAACGGTTCAAATGCATTCAAAAAATCTCATTATTTCTTGTAAAGAAAAGAAATATTGGAATGTATATTTTCATATTTAAAAATTATTTTAGTATGACATATAGAAAAGAAAAGAATATTTCAACCGTAAAATAACATCAATAACAGTAAATTAACATGTCATTTAGAGCAATTTACTTTTGTATAGAATAAAGTAACTGAGATGATTTGAAATATTTTATGCATCATTCACTTTAATATGTACTTCTTGGTATAGAATTAGAACAAAACAAGACCTAAAAATGATTTCTAGTCATAATAAGAAATAAACCCGTATATATTAAAGTAGTATACACCATTTTTATCACTAATAAGCTAAGAGTATATTATTGAGTCAGTAAAAACAAGACACTAAGAAACCCTTCACTTTCTAAAGTAAAATGGAACGCAATCGTGGAAGTGATCGCTCTTAGAGCAAATAAATCTCTTTATCTATCTATACCACTTTTATCTACTCATTAAACAATTTTTTTTTCAGTTTGGTTTGCGTATTCTTTGAAATATGTCTTGTGTTAAGTTAAAAATAAATGGGAAACTCTGCTCAGGTACTTTAAGTTGTTTAAAATTAGTTATTATACTAGGAAAACTAGAAAGTCTAGAAACTAATAATTTCTGGTGATGTTAGTTATGCGGATGATATATATATATATATATATATATATATATATATATATATATATATATATATATATATATTAACGAAAATATTTTACTAAATTAGCTGTTTTTTTTTTAATTACTTACTTCGAAAAAAAATTCCACCGTAAATTCTACAGATACATTGTGCAGTTACTAATAATTAATTATTCAGTAAATTAATAAGTTTTTATAACAACTACTATAACTAGCCTGGCCATGAATACTATTACATAAAATGATAATAATTTATCAACCTTTTAATTAATTATCTTGAATTTGAAACACGTGTATTATTTCGATTTTGAGCCATTTCACATAATTCCTCGTAATCATTTTAAAATTACGATATGTAATGTGGTTAAAGAAAATATGATTGCAGTGATTACCTTGCACGAAGTAGGTAGGGAACAATCGGTCAGGTATCTTTAAAAGCTTAGTATGTATCTTACTACATCGTACCATTAAACTATTATATTCTATTAAACAGAGTAAAAGTCTGCAGAAAAGCCAAAAGGAGGCCATTTCGAATAGTTTTGTTTTTTGCTGAGACTTTTATGAATATGTAGCTATTAATTTTAATAATAATATATAACTTGAGTTGAAAAATTCATTTCGATTTGTAACAGAACTTATGGTTGGACTAGGTGTATACGCATATTATGTGGTAGCCAGAATAAATGTATAGGTATATAATTTTCTTAAAAAGAGAAAGACATAAAATGAAAAGTGTATTTATTCTTGTTAGCAATTAATTTTACACATGTAAGAACAAAAAACAAATTTATCTTATGTTTTACATTACATTATTTTTTTTTTAGATTTGAATAAAAACTTAAATTATGTAATATATTTCGCTGCATTTCCGTTTTAGCTTTAGAAGAAGTCATAACCGGTTATTAGGAGAAAACTAAATTGACTCGAAACAAAAACATCATTCCAATTTTACTTTTTTCTCAATTTGTCAAACTGAGCATACGTTGCAGTTACGAGGTACACCATTTGTTGAAGTATCGGAACAACATGTTATAGCAAATTGCAATAATCAAGTATGACCTATAATATATTTATCCGACGTTAAATTATTTTCCATAAACAAGTGTATTAGTTTCTGGATGCATTTTGTACAATACAATGATATATTAATTTAATTGCTTATGTAGTATTATCTATCCAATATAAAAATATAGACATGTTTTATCTCCATCTATTTTCCTTTCAGTTCCCCTGATCCCAACTCTGTTAAACACAAACTTGACGTGTACAGTTATGAGAACATTTAGTTTAATCATATCATAAAAAATATTTTTGTTTCTAGATATATATAAAATGTTTATCATTTATGCAATAAATTACAGATATATCATAAATTTCACCAATTTTTCGTTTCTGTTTCCTATTGTCTTGAATTTTTCTTGCATTTTCCTAAGGTTAAAAAAGTATCTTAAGAAATAAATACGAGTACTTAGATCTATTTTCGTCTACTGCTCAAAAATATATCTCAGAGATCATTCTTCGAAAAACAGACCTCTAGTCCATTTTTATTCCCCCCTTATGAGAGAAACCAAAATAATTATTATATTCATAATAATTATATTGTAACATATGTACATAAAAATAATGATATAAAGAAACAGAGGTCAACACGAACAACTTAATATCAGCATGTTGATATATTTCCTTCCACAAATCATGAGGAGGTTATCAAATCAAAGTATAATAAGAACAAAAGCAACTAACTACACAAGACCTAATAGAATCAAATAAAAATGGAGAACAATATTAAAAACAAGAAAACGGTAGCATGAGATTAATTATTAGTCGAAAGCATACAAAAAAAATAAGGTGGAAATATTTTACCGGCTAATATTTGTATTTATTTTAGTATTACCAATGTAGGTCGCTTATCATACAAGCCGCCTTATATTTTCTTACGTATTTTGATTTTATCTTATACAGGGTGACTGGTGAATTACTATCGATATTTGAGGACGTGATATTTGACGATCATATATGACAAAATAAAAATTAATATAATTTTTATTTATATTTATAAAACGAAAATTTCAGAGCAAATTCTAAAATAAAATTAGTTCGGCTTTGTTAGGGCATTCTTTAAAAATGTATGATACTACGAATGATGTTTTGCTCTTTTGTCTATAGTCAGTGGTTCCATACCTATAGACACAACCCTCTTCGCCTTCCTGAGATACACCCTAGGACTGCCAGGCACGAAGGCTATGTGTTATCAAGGAGTCTGTGGCGTGTGCATCGTCAACGTCACTGCTAAACGACCCACCAGCGGTACCGTTGAAACCTTCTCCGTCAATTCAGTGAGTGTTCTCATTGGTTTTATATACATAAACCCTTCATTAAACATGAGTATCTTTGAGTATTAATGAATATTTTAATTGCAGACTGAATGATATATTGATGAATTACATGTACATGAATCAATGTGTCATAAAAAAATCCGAAACATTAATTTAGATACTTCAGACATTTAATGAAGTCATGCTAAGTATCATTTAAAACAAACAAAAATACATAGCACTTTACATGTTTCAGTGCCATATTGCGTAGATACATTTCCTACCTTTTTAAACACGAGTAATGTCATTCTTATGTTAATTCAATTGGCGTAATACAAACTCTACTATCTTCAGTAATGATTACTTGTAACATAATTTCAGTTCATTAGACAATATTATCGATACTCTTCTACTATTTTAACAAAGTAATTGACTGTCTTTATTATTTCCTCGCTGTAACAGTAATTAATACATTAACCTCTACAGTGCACTTCCACTAAATGTGAGTTCAATGAACTATACGCTATAATTATTTGGTTATTCGATTTGTGTCATAAAATTTACTTGAGTAATAAAAACAACTAAACAGTTCCTACAAGCATTAACTTTTATAATGTGATTTTATATATATTATTAAATTTATAATATTTATAAAGATACTGGGCATGCATGGAATACATAGGCAATACATGCATTTAGCAAAACATGTTATTAATATTCATACTTATAGAAAATCTTGAATAATACACACATTCCTTTCTTATTGTAAATTGCTTATAATATATTATTATATTAATAATACACTTGTTACAAGTGAATAAAATATACGTAAACGTCTACTCTATAAAGGAAAATAAAAACATAATTCTATCTTAGTTATTATGTACTTTTATATAACAAGAAAACTTCATAGGAAAAATATTAATTTATATATTGGCATTAAAATTACATAGGTTCCATATCCAAATCATAAAATGAGACTCTGAAACTAAGACTGCTCTGTATGTTCGTCTAATCCTTTGTTACCAGACTGTAACTCGTGAACCGTAGTATGTTCATGGATAACAGTAACAGATTACATCAAAAATTAAAATACAGAATACGATAATTTAAACGTAAACGTATTTCTGTTACCGCTATAACAATAAATGGTGAAACAACATAAAATTTATATTACTCTGAGTAAAATAAGCCATAGTGCGGTTATTACTCTAACTGGGCTTCTTTTACAAATTTTGTCTTTAAATAACATTCACATTTAATTTAATACTGCTGAACAATTATGTCAATCTTGATGCGGATTTATGTGCAATAAATATTGAACTAATTTAACTATTTCCATTTACATTTGTGGAATAATTTAAGTGCGCAATAAGCTGTGAAACCGTTCGTCACAATCTTTGTTTTATAAAGACAGCCTTGACTCAGGCTAATTAATCTTATTATTATTTGTGCAGTGTCTGGTGCTAGTGTTGTCGTGTCACGGCTGGGACATAACCACCATAGAAGCTGTAGGGAACCGTCTCGATGGGTACAGCGAGGAGCAGAAACGGATCGCAGCGTTCAATGGGACTCAATGTGGATATTGTACACCCGGCTGGGTCATGCAATTACATAGGTGGGATTGTTTTTTTTTCAAATTGATATTAAGTTATATGTAAACACCTCTAAACCTGTTTTGTGAGATATATTTTCAGAAAAATATGCGAATTAAATTCAATTCAATGGTGTTTTTAAGATAGGCAAAAAAGTCCTTTCCTATTGATAGGTCGTCTCGGTTCACTATTTTATATCTATGACTAATTAATTATTTTATTTGTTTTAATACTTTTCCATCTCGTCTGCTGTGAACACAAAACGTAACAAACCAATATACTTAAGTGAATATATTGATTGGTAACTAAGTCGTCATACTATGTATTAGTACATTTTCCTGTGACTTGATTATTCTACGAATAAAATCTTAAAATACAAAAATATTTCGAAATGAACATAGTGGTTGAGATTATTTTCTAAGTAGAATTAATTGTATTTATTATGTATATTAGGTCTCTGTTAACAAACTTTTATCTGGAAAAGTCACCAAAACTTGTGTGTGGCCGTAAGTGCTTGGTTCTCTTGGGTTCTAGTCACATTTATATTTTATTTTCAGAAGCTATATTAATAAGTTATATAATTTATAAAAAAATTCAAGTACTATCATTATCAACAAAATATTTATACAGATGTAATATTCCGTTAAATTGTAGACGCTTAATATTTTTCATCCCATCACCTGTTCAAATAAAATTTGTCAAAGTGATATTTTTATTAGAATAAAGCATATAATTATGAAACAAATATTAATTCTTTGAAATATGTAAAAGTTAAATTATATCTTTAATCGTTTCATATATTGGTTTATTATTCTCAATTCATATACCGATTAGAATGGCATATTTTAAAAGTAAAGTGATAAGTATGTTTTTTTTTCAGCTTGAAAGACAAGAACTTGTCCATGTTAGAACTTGAAAACTCATTCGGTAGCAACACATGCAGGTGTACAGGATTCAGACCAATTTTGGACACAATAAAGTCTTTCGCTTCTAACCCTACCCCCGAACTATGCAAAGCCGTTAAAGACATCGAAGACTTATCAGTTTGCATGAAAGACAAAGCAAAAATTTGTCGACAAAAATGTTCCTCTCTTTCCAGCGAAAGCGACTGGAGTGTTGTTTCGGATGTAAAGAATGAAATGATAATAATTCATTACGATAATAAAATCTTCTACAAAGTATTTGAAATAGATCAGATCTTTCACCTTTTCAGCAATTATTCCAATGAACATTATATGCTTATTGACGGTAACACTGGCAAAGGTATGTTCAATATAATTTCATCACAATTTATCTTATAGCAGATAAAAAATAATTGTTACCATTCTTACAGCTGTTATTGAAAACTTTGAGTATCCACCGATCTTGATAGACATCAGCAATGTAGTGTCTTTAAAACAGCATAGTATCGATCAGAACTTGATACTCGGAGCAAACATTTCAATAGAAGATTGTATTACTCTGTTTAAAAACATTGCAGCGGAAAGAGAGGAGTTCCACTATCTAGATGTATTCGCGAAACATTTGGATTTAGTGGCGCATATTCCCGTTAGAGAGGTCACTATACTTCAATGCGCAAAAAAAAATCTTAGAAAAGACTTATTTTTTGACAAGCTTCAAATTTCTTCTCATTTTAATAAAATTATCGTAAAAACATTTTATGTCTTCCAGATTGGTTCAGTAGCAGGCAATGTAATGCTAAAACACATGATGAGATCTTATCAATCAGACGTTTTCCTTCTTTTGGAATCCGTCGGTACAATTGTCAATATTCGTAAGTTATTACTTTTATTCTCAGTATATTTAACAGTAACTGTAACGTGGTTGCAATGGTCACTATTCTATATATAATTAAGTTATGAACAAAAAAAATTAAAAGTTTAATAACATAAGTTTCAATTATATAATTATTGCCTTGGCTCTCCTGAATGATCATTTCAGTCTGATTCTTTCAAAGTAAATAATACAAAACACCGCGTCGTCTCATTTTTTCTTAGTTGAAAAATAGTAGGCTAGTAGGCGATAAGAGCGTCTATTTTCATTGAAGTCATTACTCACTACATTGTGTTTATCTTGTATTGTGTTATTAAAATGTTTATGGTGTACAGTAAAAAGTTAATAAATAAACACTTTATAAATACAAAATGCATGAGCTGAAAATAACTATCTATTTCATGTTTACAGAACCTATTTCTCATTACTAATATTCTAAAACTAATCTGCAAAAGATTGTTTTTGTTTAAATTTTTTTTACATTTTGTTACACAGTCTAGTTCATAATTATATAGGGTGGCAATTATATATAATTATATAGGGAACCAGAGATTCCAGAAAAACTACAAAACTTACTTATATGTATATTTATAGTGTTTGTAACAAATTCAGATAGCGGGTAGTCAAATAATGTTTGTGACAGTAGTCAGTCTACGTTGAAGCAGTAAATTGTGTGCCACAAGTTCATTGTTTTAGTTCATTATTACTCATAGATATAACATTTTGGCGACGAATTAGCAATCCACGCATTAAATAGTGTTTTTGTGAACTTTGTGAGTAAAAATATAATGACGTGGAGTGCAAATATCATGTTTGGTGGAAACCTCGTGTTCGATCATCGTGCACAGCAATGGAGCATTTTTATAAGCCGTTTTAAACAATATTGCACGACAAACAATATTACCGACGCAAATGACAAAGCTGGTATTCAACGGCGTGCACTGTTACTGACTGCCTTAGTGGAAGACACATACCGCGTCGCAAAAGATTTGGTTTTCCCTACGGACCTAGACAATGTAGATTATGGAGTGTTGTTGCAAAAGTTAAATAGTCATTTTCTGTCAAAAAAAAGTACTTTTGCCGAGAGATATATGTTCTATAAGGCCGAACAGCGACCCGGGGAAGATTTAACGGAATGGGCGGCGCGAGTGCGCAGCCTCGCACAGCATTGCGAGTTTAAATCAGATCTCGAGACAGCTACGAGATAGGTTTGTACTGGGATTAGAAAACGCTAAAGAGAAAGAGAGATTGTTTACCGAAAACATAGGGCATCTGACATTTAACAAGGCGTTGGAGTTAGCTACCAGTATGCGGTGTGCGTGGTTGGCGCTCATGACGGGGCGCAGTTCCCGGGCCGAGCACCGGGTGCCGGCGGCAGCGGCGCCGTGTACGCGCTGCGCACCCGCCGGCCATCGGCACCCGCGCCGCTTGATAGTGCTCAGAGTGTGAAACAAGTTTGTGTAGTGTGTGGTTATAAAAACCATACCAAAGATCAGTGTCGTTACGCGAACTTTACGTGTCGTAAATGCGATGCTAAGGATCATTTACAGCGAATGTGTAAAGCGCATAAAATGAAATGTAACAATTATTTAGATAAGTACTCGGGTGATGACGAGGGCTGTGACGACATTGTAGAAGGTAACTTTCAATGTTTTAATATTAAGTGTGTAAATGCGGCACCGATGCAACAAATCATCTCAATCAGTAATAAAAATATTTTATGTGTAGGTAGCGGTAGTGCGGTTTCTATTTTACCTAAACACGTATACGATAAGTTTTTCTTTCAAAGTTGTGAACTGCAATCGTGTCATGTTATATTATTATCAATAAATTATGAAGGTCATGAACGAATGCTTAAAATATATGTTGTTCAGACTAACGTTTACCACCCAGTACTCTTGGGCCGCGATTTTATTAGGGCTTTAATTTACAATTGTGTTCTATAAAATGCAATAACATAACGACCTGTAAAATTGGGGAAAAACTGACAAAAAAGTATTATATATTATTTTGTAATGAGTTGGAGTGTGATAATAAGAACTACAATTTAAAACTTATGACCTTTACCTAAAACTACATGATTTCCCCGACGTTAGAATAGGAATCACATTCCATATTTTACTCCTACAAGGATGTTGCCCCGGCGATGTCCATTTATTTCTGAATATGTAGCGCGTACGTAACATAGTAATACATAATCATACAGACATTTGACAGATAGGCATAAGAAAAAACAGCAATAAGACATGTCAGAGATAACGACTTCATTGTTTTAAAAATGAATGAAATCAGCATTACTGAAATCATAGATGGCTTTACTCATGATTTTAGTCAGTGTGCCTGTGAAGGTAACCACAAAAACGATTTGACAAATCCTTTATTTCGTAGAGGTCCGCTCCGTACAACGGCACAGAGAGAGTTTTAATCCACACCCTTACATCTATTTATATCAACCAACACCCATTGTTGTCACTGCACTTGTGCAGATGGCTAATAATGTTATAGAGGTGACACCGTACAATTTTAACTATTCATAATTATTAATTACGTAAAAAAGAATATTTATTTAATGAAGCAAATTAAATAACACACTTTTTTATTCGGGTACCAACATTCATATTTGAAATGCATGTTTATATAGCAATTTTACTGTATTTAAAATATTGTTTCTTTGATTTTCAGGCTCTGTTTCGGGTGCACAGTCTAGTTTGAAAATGGAAGAATTTTTAGAGTTTGACATGAATGGAAAATTAATTGTAAACTTTGAATTGCCACCTCTGGGTGCTAATCATATTATAAGAAGCTACAAGGTATTATTTATTAAATATATTTGAATAAATGCCCTTTTATTGTTATAATAACTAATTCTGTTTATGTACATTTCAGATTATGCCAAGAAATCAAAATGCTCTGGCGATCGTGAATGCTGTGTTTAATATTAAATTAAATTTCGGAACCAATAAAATCGAAAAAGCTATTATCGTTTACGGTAACATCTCGGGACGTTTCATTCACGCCACACAAACTGAGAAGTATTTACAAGGAAAAAATATTTATAGCAATGAAACAATACAAAATGCTATTAATATTTTAAATAGAGAAGTCAAGCCTGATAATGATCCTTCCAAACCTTCGCCTCAAGCTCGAAGAAAATTAGCTGTTGGACTATTTTATAAAGTAATTTTATAGTTTATATTTCTTATGTCTTATGAGCGACAAAAGTTTAAATTCTAATGTCTCCATTCTTTTCAGTTTATTCTCAGCATAACCCCAGCTAATTTGACGAATCCTAGATTCCATTCGGGAGGACTAAACTTAACGCGACCTGTATCTAGAGGGGAGCAGCATTTCCAAACAGATAGTTCTCTTTTCCCTCTTAACCAACCAGTGGATAAATTGGAAGCCATCATTCAAGCATCTGGTGAAGCGCAATACGTCAATGATATACCTACCATGCCGAATGAAGTGTTCGGTGCCTTCGTGCTTTCCACAGTACACAATGGAGATGTTGACGTTATTGATGCAAGCGATGCTTTGGTATGTATGAATTCAGTTTTTGAATTAGTAAAAGACTTTAAAAGTATTAGTTAAGTATAACTTGCGCTTTGCTATACCTTCAAACTCATGTTCACTACACTGTTGAACAACATCATTCTATGGGCTTAAGAGGAAACTTGAACTTATTCCAAACCATAAACTTTGGCAGTTGGAATTTTTTGTAACCACACTATGTGCCCTTTTTACATATTATACAACACACGTAAACGTTTTGTCAAGTCTACTACATAGCCGTTCCCACACTTCATTCACGCTTACATACTAATGGTTGGATCATTATTAAACTGAATCTTTAGTTGCCAGGAATAAAATTAACTAGAAGCTATAGTTTTCTGAAAAGTGGAGGTGCTTCCTAAGTCTGAGCGGTTCAATTCTAGCAAGAAAAATTCCGCCATCCTCTATATTCTCAATATCAACCATTCTGCTTAGAATCTGAATTTTTAATTTCAGGAAAAAAATGGAGTCATAGCTCTATTCACAGCAAAGGATATACCAGGCAAAAACTCTTTCATTTATCCTGGATATCAATTACAAACTGAAGATGAGGAAATTTTAGCAGATAAAAACATTAAATATTATGGTCAACCCATTGCAATAATAGTTGCTGATTCACAAGATTTGGCTGTTAGAGCTGCAAAGTGGGTTAAAGTAACCTATAAGAATGTAAAAAGTATCCCCCCTGTTTTAACAATTAATCAGGCAAAGAAAGATAGTACCAGAGTTGTCACCGGTGATGTTCTCACCCCTAAAGGAAAAGGAGAAAATGTGACAAAAGTAATTAAAGGCACATATGAAATAGGAGGACAATATCACTACTATATGGAAACTCTTAGTTGTTTGGTAGTACCTGTTGATAAAGGATTGGAAGTACACGATTCAAGTCAGTGGATAGATTTAACACAGTCTGCTATATCTCGGTCATTATGTATACCCGAGAGCAAGTATGAAAAATTATTATACCTAATTCGATAATAACGCTATAGACAATTTCGTGTGAATAGACTTCTTAAACTGTTCGGTTATATCCAAGGGTGCTCGTGATGGTTCGTCGTTTGGGCGGTGGTTTCGGCGGGAAGATATCACGCAATGTACAAGTAGCCTGCGCCTCTGCTCTTGTCGCCCACAAACTAGACCTACCATGCAGGTTTATATTACCATTCGAAACCAATATTACTATAGCGGGAGGGAGACTTCCGACTCAGTGCAATTATGAGGTTTAATTTTTTTTAATACTGATGATTTTATGTTTGTTTAAGTATGGTTTACATTTTTTTTTGTTTTCATTTGTTATCAGGTAGGAGTAGATGACGAAGGGAAGATCCAGTATTTGAAAGCCGATATTAACGAAGATTGTGGTTGCTCACAAAATGAGAATATATTAAGTTACACCTTGGGTGGTTTTGGCATTTGTTACAACAGGGATTTTTACGACATAAAAACATTCTACGTTAGAACCGATACTTCATCAAATACTTTTGCGAGAGCTCCTGGTAAGTAAAAATATAAAAAAAAATAGAAAATATTTTTTAAAATTTTTGCTATTTTTTATGTCAGAAAAAGTGACGTCATTAATATATATAGATTCTATAGATTTTTTTTTGTCTGTAGGGACCATGGAAGGTATTTCTTCAATGGAAAACATAATGGAGCATATTGCTTATGAGCTGCACAAAGATCCAACCGATGTTCGATTGGCTAATATGACAGACAAAGATCTTCCTATTCTCATAGAAAAATTAAAAACCATGGCCGACTACAAAAACAGAGAAGAAAATATCAAGTTATTCAACAAAACCAATCGATGGATAAAGAGGGGAATTACTCTAAATTTAATGCTCTTTCCCGTAGAATATTATGGAAATTATTCAGCATTGGTTTCAATTTACAGAGGAGATGGAACAGTTACTATTACTTCTGGTGGTATAGAGATGGGTCAAGGCCTTAACACCAAGGCAGCACAAGTTTGCGCGTATACACTAGGAATACCACTAGAAAAAGTTTCAGTGATCTCTAATTACTCTTTTGTATGTAACAATGAGGTCTTTACGGGGTCCAGTATTGCAAGTGAAAGCGTTTGTTATGCAATAATTAAGGCTTGTGAAATAATTCAGGGAAGATTGAAACCGCTGAAAGATGAACTAAAGAATGCTTCTTGGTTAGAACTCATACAAGAGGCCGCAAAGAGGGAGATAGATCTATCATCCAAATATATGATGACTGATATGGAACCTGATTTAAAGGGTTACAGTGCATATGCAGTTGTGGCCTTGGAAGTTGAAATGGATGTTTTAACGGGAAGCTTCCAAATACTCAGACAAGATATTTTAGAAGACGTTGGATTAAGTGCTAATCCTAAGATAGATGTTGGACAGGTAATGGATTTTTAATTTATATATGGATTTAATTACTAGAATTGTTTTAAATTTTGTCCATTTCAATTTTAGGTGGAAGGGGCTTTTATCCAGGGTTGCAGTTACTTCACGAAAGAAAAGTTTATATACGATAAAACAACAGGAAAATTACTTAACAGTGACGCCCTACACTACGAAGTTTCTCTTGCTAAGGACATCGCGATTGACACAAGAACTTATTTCAGATATAACTCCAAGAACCCTAAGGGCGTATTGGGATCGAAATGTAATTGTTATCATTTACATTCCATTTTCATACTTTATATATTTATAAAGACCATGTGCGTATTCATCTTAACCAACTAGAAGACTTAATCTTTAAAATTTTTCAATCTACTGTTTCAGCTGTCGGAGAAATGGGTATATGTACTGCTCATAGCATCATATATGCCTTAAGAAAATGTATTGTGGATTCAAGGAAGGACTCGGGTTATGATGTTTCAAAATGGATTAATGTTGGTAAGTAATAAAAACTTTTGTCTGCTATCATAATCATAGTTTGATATCATAAATAAAAATGCTGTCATGCAAATGTGTATAGACTTATTAAATAACATACATACATTGATTTTCTTTTGAATAATTTTCTTTCTTTTTAATCTAATGATTAGATTAAAAATCTAATGATTAGATTAGATTCTAATCTTTTGAATAAGCTTTTCCCAGATAAATAACAGTAGATAGGTACTTTAATTAATGGATATATAATTTTTTTCGTATAATTACTATAAAGAAGTGTAGGTCACAATTATTAAAATATTTAACACCACATTCTCGCTAAAGTCAATTATGTATCTTTGTTTCAGATATTCCCCTTACAACAGAATCAATACTCACTGCCCTCGATGTAAATCCTTCTGAATTTATTCTGAGCTGAGTATTTAATGACTCATTACCATCTTATTAGAATGATTCCCTTTATTAGATAGAATTTAATATTTTAATCTGAGTTTTGTGATTTTCAACATGTTTCTGTTTTTTATACACATCTTTATTTTCCTTTTTCTTTATTTATTAGATGTGATTTAATTTTTGTTATCATTTTAGAATATGGATAAAATAAATACATTTAAAGCTTTATCTTTTGCATTTATTTATAAACCATACTAAGAAATGCTGATTATTATAATCAAGGAAAAAATAGATGACTTTTATTAATGTACATGTTCTCTATAAAAGCTTTAGAAGTGTAAATAAGATTTTTTCAATATATAATACTAGTGAATATATTTTTACTAATATCATTAACATCCACAGTATGAGAAAAAATAGATCTCAGGTACCTTACTATTTTTCAGAACTTATTTTCTTTAAAAACTGTATACTTACACTATCTATTGCTAAAATTACGGAGCTATTTACATACAGTAAAATTATTGTGGGTTGGCCTTTTTTTGCTCAGTCCATAGCTTAATTTCGTGAAACCCATATATGTAAATAAAAGCTGCTTACCCATACAGCAATTAAATCGACATTGGTTAATTCTTACTTACATACTTTAAATCATATATTACGGACATTTAATATATTATTTTGTAAAATTTGTAAAAAATCCATCTGTCAACGTAAAAAGAAACATTTTCGATAGGTCGCTGATAACGGCCAGCGCCAGTTCCCAGCCAATGTAACCGTAAGTACCTCTAATTACTTGGTGCATATTATCCATACAAATATTATCAAAAACAATCTACAAAGCTTGTTTTGTATGCAGAAAAATGTTTGCATGTGTGTCTGAAAACTATGAATTTTTAGTATTCGAAAGGCACCGCATCCTTAACCCTACTCGTTTAAAAAGTCTTAGAAACTAAGTTGATGGTCCAATGAAAAAGAACTAATGTCAGTATACCGTTCAAATATTTTTAATTTTATTTGCCATTTTAATAAGTTAAGAAGTTTTAGTTAGCTAATTAGTGAATTTATTAACGAATTATTGAAAATTAAAGCAGTGAGCTCTGTGCTGGTGATGTGCTTTTAATGAAATTGATTATAAGAACATGTTCAATATTGTCGTTTGGGGATAATATTAAAATTATTACAAAAAGAAGGTGTGTCCCACTTTAGATTTAACTAAAAGGAAGGTAATGTTACTCGTTCTTTAAATAAAAAGTATTATGATAGTTATAATTGGCTAGCAGGTTGTGTACACACAAATAAGATATTCTGTTTTCCTTATTTATTTTTGACATAATAATAATAAGAATGTTTAGATCTCCACTGGCTACTCCGAATTATTTATTTTCATAAAGCTGTTGCGAAGCACGAAATTATAGAGAAGATGAGTTTAGTTTAAATAAAAAGTTTCAGTTAGACATAATGAAGGCACAACACGAAAGATGATAGAAATAGAAACATTTTCAAAAGTTTGAGAGACATCGTTTGTTTTCTTGCTATACAAAAAAAATTGGCTTTCTACTGTCATGACGAACACACTTCATTAATAAAGCAAGGCATTTTCTGATCTTGTTGATTTGTTAGCGAAATATGACAGTAATATGGAGTCCCAAGAAATAAGAAAGAGGTCATAAATTTTATTATATGGGCTTTGAGACCGTCTTTAATTTAAAAAGTATTAATGGCAGTATGATGTTCTTAAATTAATTCAAAGATATTGAAGTAGATTACATTTAAAATAAGACTATAAAGGAATGGAATGAAACTTTTCTATTGTCTAGCTAGATCTAGATCTCGATGAAGAGCTATTTTACATCTCTTGCAAAAGGCGCGATACTTTGTGACGTAATATATACTATTTTGAGGGCCCAGAGTCGTTATATATTTCATGTAAACATTTTTCTATTTCATACTTTTAATTTTATACAATTAATTAATCATAATGGAAGTAAGTTCTTACAAGCTTTGGAGTTGAAACATTCTATAGATTGGAAGGGAAAAATAGATTGTTCATTTTTTTATTTGTATGTAGTAGTCGTATTAAAAAAATACAATTTAAAAATAATACGTTTTATGCAAGAACTTATTTAATGGGTAAAGCTATTAAGCTTATAAGAATTCAAAATCGATTAAAGTGTCTGGTTTAAGATTATGACATTATTTTCGTAATATATTACCAAAAAACCCTTTTTTAAGTATACCTACCACGGCTGACAGATATTACATCTAGTGCAATTTACTAATCTTCTTCAAGTAGTTAGTATATCAATGTGTTATTATTAGAATTGAGTATATTACCAAAACTATATGAAAAAAAATATCGATTAAACATACGGATATAATAATTATTTTCATTGCAATGTAATTAAGCAATAAATGGACTATACTAAGAAGTTTTGTAATAAAGAATATGTTACATGTTTTACATTTGATTCGCAAAAATTATATAAATCTTGCAAAAACTCTTGTAAAACAGATTTTAAATTTAAACCACAGGAATAAGTAATAGGAATTAAATAAGATAAAAATATTTATAAAAAATACGTTACGATCATTGCAAAACAAATTAATTAATTATTATTATGAACAAATAAAAATGTTTCAACAAACTAAACGAAAAATATTATAATAAATACTCAGTAATAAATTATTATTATTGATCCTAGAGAACAAATTTTTTGTTTAGACTTCAACACATAGCACAAAGGAAATGATAATATTTACTTTGTTTACTTTTGTACAGTAATATCAATAGTTCTTTTGTTTTGTGTTATGCGAAAAGTGCAATCAAATATCACCTGATCATATAATGATGATCACGCTATTTTCAACCGTAACATACTTAATATAAAACCTCCTAGGAATATAAAGAAAATATATAAATACTTAAAGCTATAGAGGCCATAATCGCGTAAAGTTAAAATCAAGTCGAAATTGGTAAAACAAAATTATCCTTTATGTACAATAGTCCCTACAATATATGAAACTACATCTAATTAGTCGCCAGTTTCCTTAAAACTTTACAGCTACCTCGTTGGCTACAAAATACAACGACGAAGTCATTAATATATATAAAAAACGAAAATATATTTAGAGTACATATATACTTTTAATATTAAAACAATCTCAAAATAATATTCACAATTCAAGGCAACTAAATAAAGTTACGAAGATGAGTATTTAGACACCACTGATATTCGGTAAAGGAAAACATCGTGAGGAAACCTGGACTTAGAATTTCAAAATCTTATACTTTTAAATAGCCAATCCGTCTTGAGCAAGCGTGGTAATTAATGCTCAAATCTTCTCCATATGAGGAGAGGCCTTTGCTCAGCAGTGGGCTCTGATAGGCTGATGATGATGATTGATAATGATGATAGCTATAACAAAAATTGTATATTTATTCATAACTTTCAAACTGTAGTATTTATAATGCTTCTAAATACTAAGTATCGTTTTTTTTCAATTAATTTCCTTTTGTCATTGTTAAAAGAAAAAGGAAATCATCAACAATCTAAAAAAAACGGTGTTGAAAACGTTCAAGAATGTCCTATTTTCTTATGATTTATGTGCGCATAATTAATTCCAGGACATAAATTATTAAATCAATGTATTGGAATATCAAAATTACTGCAATCATATATTAGTTACATATTCATTGTTTTTTATCATGCGAATTGTAATTAGTACGGAACATAAATTAAAATTATTCCTTCATAGTGTACGTACGACGAAGGAATTATGATAATTTGTATTTATATGTAAAAAATAATTATACATAATTATTTCTTCTGTTATTGTTAAGAGAAACGACATAAGTACCGTAGTTAACATACATATATAAATTTAGATAACATTGTTTTTTTTATTTATACAATATTCAATATAGGAACTGGAAAAGTTATTCCGTTATGTATAGTGTCAAAAGTCCTTTAATTTTTTTTATTATGAATAAAATTCAAATGGCGTGAGGAGCAAACAGCAAAGGTCTTGCCAAATTCAGTCAGGCCCAACAAAGACATAAGGACGGAAGAAAATATCGTTAGTTTGTTAATCCAATTGACTTTTTCTTATAGGGTTACCTTAAATGTAAAATCCGTAAAACAAATTCACTATCAATTGATTAACTAAAACAAATTATCCGGCGAGAAATGTCGAGCATTTCAGAAGTTACTTATTTATTTTATATTTTCCATACGTTGCTAAAACTCGTCTCCTTCTTTTTCAACTTTCGTGTTATAGATAGGATGAAATAAATGTTTTTTGTATTAACTTTTAATTAAAGTATAAATATTCTCTCTTCTTTAATAATTACAATTTTTTAATGAAATAAAATTTATAATAACTAGAAATGCCTATCATATTATACAATCAAATAATAAAACAATATCATAAAATCTCAGTTTGAAAAAGTTTAAATAAATATTCCTAAATAACAACAAGAAGTTTCAACTGCCAAATATTACACATCAATCAAAAGAAATAAAAATTAATACGATTTTAAGACATCCAATAGAACAGTAGACGGTTCTTTTTTGTTGACTGAAATAACTCTTAGAGCAGAACAA